CCCCCAAAAGAGGGTGATGCCAGTGTAACCCCCCCATTCCTGGTGCTAGCGCCACAGCCCGCCTGCCTTCCCGCCACCGCCGGGCCTCGGCGCCAGGACACCGGCGTCCCACCGGGGCTGACCTTTCCGCTAGGCCGCACAGAGCCGGCTGTGCGCACCGGGCCCGTTTCCACCTCTCAGCCCCCCCTAACAGCTCTCCCAACCCCCCCAGGCATGGCCCCCCCACAGCCCACTGAGAGCACTGTCCTGGTGGAAGGCCAAACCCTCTTCTACCGCCAAGCTGAGCCGGCCCAGCGGGCACCGAAGCTGACGGTGCTGCTGCTGCACGGCATTCGCTTCTCCTCTGACACCTGGCTTCAGCTGCGGACGCTTGCCACGCTGGCTGAAAACGGCTACCGAGCTGTGGCTATCGACCTGCCGGGTAAGGCATGGTGGAGAGCATGGCCCTGGAGCAAGGTGGGGGCCGGGGGCAGCCAATACAGCTGCTCACATTCGTGGTGCTGGGATGGCAACCCTGATGTCCTGCTGTGCCAGCTTCTCCCTGTCTCAAAGCAGCAGAGAGTGTGACAGAGCAACTTCTGTCTCCCATGGCTCAGGGCTGGGGCGCTCAAAGGATGCTGTGGCCCCAGCGCACGTGGGCCAGCCAGCACCGGGGGCTTTCCTGAAAGCAGTTTCGGAGGCTCTGTGCCTGGGTCCGGCCGTGGTGATCAGCCCATCCCTCAGCGGCATGTATTCCCTGCCCTTCCTCTTCCAGCACAACCACCTGCTCAAGGCGTACGTGCCCGTGGCACCCATCTGCACTGAGAAATTCACGGCGGAGCAGTACACCCAGATCAAAGTATGGCCTGGAGGGAGATTGAGGGAGGTCGAGGGACTGGGAGGGGATGGTGAGGAGGGGACCCTGGCACCAGGGTTGGGCAGGGGAAAGACCAAACAGGCCAGAAACCCCATTGTCGCTGGAAAAGGGGAACATGATGGTGAAGGAACGTGACCATAGGGTAGCAGGAGGGAAAGAGGGGACATTAGGAGACCCAGGAGTTTGAGCCTCAGTTTCCCCTTGTGGTGGGCAGGG